GTTTTATTTGACTATTGTTACAAGTTTTATTTGACTATCTTTACAAGTTTTATTTGACTATCTTTACAAGTTGTATTTGACTACCTTTATTAGTTTTTGGAACAGTTGGAACAGTTTTAAAGATGTATGCAATATTACACTCAGAATGATTCAGATCCTTTAATCGGCTCTTTAAAATGAACTATGGGAACTGAGTTGCAAACTGTTGATGTAGGAGTTCTAGGATTTTCTCCTACAGCTTCTCTACACCAAATGGCATCAACGGATACACACCCGCTGATAATTACCCTAATGAGCGATTGGGGTATAAATGGCAATGATGACTTCTATCCGACGCCGGTGCATTGTCTGCCTTATGGTAGTTGTTCCAGGCCACTATTGTGTTCCTAGCATTTACTGTATAAACTAATTCATTGCTCCTGAGCGTTTCAGCATTCTCCTGTGTTCCTTCGACACCCTGGACCTCCTGGTTTCCCTTGTGGACCTACTGGTGCTCTCTTCAGCTGCTCCTTACCTTCCCCACTTGTCCACCATTACCTGCAACCCCTCTGGATTACTATTGGAACCTTTGACCTTATGAGTTTACCATATTCTCCTACAGTAAGCGACCAGCAATTATCAGAACCACCTGCAATCCAACTAATCCCCTTATGAACTGTCCTTGCTCTCCAGGGTTCCACTCCCCCATCCCTGCCACGCCCCATGTTGCAGTTCTATTGTTTACCTTATTTCACATTTTGTAAAAAAACACTGTTACTTTATTACATGTCTTGGAGTTGCTCATTTTAGTCACTGCTATTCTGGGTATTAGTAAAACCTCACATGATGATGATGGTTGTTGTTCATGATGTAGTTTATACGTCACTACCTACAGCCTACATCACATTTTATGGCCTATGTCACAGTGTGTAAATGTTTTTTTTTACAAACTGTTCCAAATTAAATAGATCTTTGACAGGACTAGATCCAAAAGATCTGTCTTCCTTCAAAGAATCAAATATCACAGCCCTAGAAATAAGAGAAGTGTTCTTTACTAATTTTTTCACGGTGACATGCACAGTGAGTTCTGACTAATCACACAAAACTTGGCGCAAATCCCCGTAAGAAAAAATTATGCTAATAACTTGTACACAAAACAAGTTAACGGAGCTAATGCAAGAGGCAAAAAAAAAGAAGTAATTTTCACAACGCACCAGTGCCAATAAAAACAGACTTTTTAACATCTCACTGAGTATAAATCTGCTTTAAAAGTTCACGTTGCTAGTGTCTGGTCCCAAAACTACAACATGGCAGCTCTGGTAAACCAGGTAGGTACTGCTGGCTTTGCTTCCCTACACTTAGAAAAGGCAAAGACATTTGGTTTGTAATATAAAATAGTGGTTCTCAAACTGGGGTCCCTGGACCCTCGTGGGTCCACGAGCCGGTGATCGGGGGTGCTCAAAATTATTTTTTTACAAGCACGTAGATGCTTAACAACCTGTTAAAATACACCAAAATGCAGGAAATTGCATCTACAGTATATTATCCAAAATTTTTCTGGGGGAGGACTCCCAGACCCCCCGTACCCCAATCCCCACCCACTATTTGCATTCCGGCATTGATCAGTTCGCAAATCAAGCCCTGTGTCTGATTACTGCTGTTATGATTCTGTTCTGTTTTATGTAGAGTTTTATGTAAAAATTTGAAGATGTGGCGATACCACTAATAATAATAATAGGGGAGTGGTGGCGCAGAGGTTAGAGAAGATGGGCCTATGATCGGAAAGTCGAAGGTTCAACTCCCAGCACCGTCAACATCAAAACGTGGGTGGAAAAGGTGAAACACCCACACTTGCCTCCACCCTCATTTGCCCCACTCTGGGTCCCTGAGCAAGGGCCCTCAACCCCCGCCATCTGCTCCCAAAAACAGGTCT